TCATGCCAGAGCTGCGTTGAGTCCCTGGAGAATCGATCATGCTCGAGCTGTGCTCGCTGGAGCACTGCTAAAAACAAAAAATTTCACAGATTCCAGAATTTTTAGAAACTTTCAAAAAGTCGTATAAGGATTGGAAATCTGCAGACGATAAATTGACATACCATGGAAGTACTGGAAGTCGGGACCCCAGCTGGAGCAAAACTGTGCAGAGGTACATACTGTGAACTTCTGGTCGGAGCTACCATCGTTAACGGCTTCCAGCTCCCCAGCTGCGCAGAAGCGGGTTTGATATTCGGGACCTGCTAATAAATTTTGAGAGATGCACTGCTTGTAAAATACTTCTGATTTTTGTTTCACTGAACAAGATAATTTAATAAGTTGCCCCTGTTAATTTGAATTTCCATTCTGCTTTAATCTAGGTTCGCCGCATCCATGGACACTCATAAAGGCGTCCAACCAGATCCATCCATTACAATGAATGGAGGTCCTAGCGGTTGTCTCTTATTGAATAAACACAATTTGGTAATCACTGGTGACGCGTGCCGGGTGAGCCCGTGCAATCATGCACTTTTGCAGTATTTCGTACTGTTCTAAGACCACTTGGGGTCCCAGTAACTAGAATTTATGGCATACTGGCCTTCGAAGTTCAGGAAGTTAATTGTGCAACTAAATGGTTCTTGATCATAGAATATCCCCTCAAAATTTCGGCTTTTTTTCTTTTCAGGTCCTCGAGTTAGCAATTTTCTCGCCAGAAATTCCGTGTGGTCGTATGTGAGAACTACACATACCTTAGCGCTGAATTTCAAAACTTTAAGTTGTACGTGGGCTGAGAACATACCCTTCGAATTTTAGCCTCCCAGCTTTTCTGGTCCCCGAGTTGGCGATTTTTTCGCCAAAAACTTTTACGAAGCCATATGTGAGAACACGTACACGGAAGGGCTGAATTTGAAAACTTTAAGTTGCACACGGGCTGGGAACATCCTCTTAAAATTTCAGCCTCCCAGCTTTCGTAGTTTACGAGTAAACCATTTCCACGCCATGAACTTTTACGGACCATACGTGGGAACTACACATATCTGGGAGCTGAATTTGAAATATTTAAATTGTACATAACCCGGGAACAAGCCCTTGAAATTTCAGCCTCCCAGCTTTCCTGGTTCCCGAGTTAGCGACTGTTCCACCAGAAGTTTCAGGAGCTCGTGCGCTGATCTAGACGTGTGCAGGGATCGATACCTTGGTCTTGGGCAGAAAAACTTGGCCGGCAAAAAAACTTGGCCGATACCGCGGTTCTGGGCGAAAACTGGCAAAAATTCGGCGTCTAAGCTTGTTTGACTGCCGAGTCGAAATATCCGGACAGACACACAAACATATATACACAAACACACCGGGGTCGTCACAATATGCGTTCTTGCATTCGCATATATGCAAAAATGCATAAGCAGCTTGTCCACCTGTTCTTTCACCCTCGCCAAAAGTCGTTTCACCCTTCTTGTAAACTGTTCAGTACAAGAATCTTTTTCGCCAAAGCGACATCACAATAATTTACAGCAGAACTGCCGTAATTCGCAAATTTCTTCTATGCATCGTTTCACAACTCGCTCTGACACTGACAATTTCTAGCTGAAGTAAGATATATTCCAAGCCCCACTTTCCCGCTTCACAACCAGTAACGAAGGCATAACGTTTTCATTTCCGATAAAACTACTGGACAAGATGTCTCGATAATTGCAACGAGCCATCTATTCTCGTTGCAATTATCGAGACATCTTGTCCAGTAGTTTTTTATGAGTTTTTGCATATATGTAAATTGCAAAAACGCATATTGGGAAGAGGC